AATCCAGCAGTTGGAAGTAGTCTATTGACTCTTCCACACAATCCAGCAGATGGAAGTAGTCTATTGAGACTTTTGACCCTTTATGAAAAGCTCTCATTATTGGTGATATGTAGATCGCACAATGCAGGACCAACCTGCTTAAGCTATAATGTCATATGCTATCCAGTTAGTAGAGTACTAAACGTTATACCTTGATATATATCCTTCCGTTTGATACGAGAGTATACGACACAGATCATGTCTGTCAGGGTGGACAGAGTCAGCATGAAGAAGCACCAGTCTGTGAGGTAGATAAACCACTTGATCTGTTGATTAGGATCAGGCCCCGCCCACTGCCAGCTCAACACTCCTGTTAGGATGATCCAGACCACGTGGTATATAGCCCATATCACCCGCCACACCAAATATGGTATTTGCTTCCCGCACTGTAAATATAGCATCAAGTATACAACCATTACCATGTCATGTGTGCAGATCAATGTCTAAAAATCGTCACTTTCTCAGAGATCAAATTTTCGTAATTTATAAAAAAGCACCTAATTGTGGCTTCACTTTGTGGGGAATATAACAAAATAAGGTTGTTATTCAGATTTTTTTTAAAAATCTTCATTGAATAAACATTACACATACTTTTTGTAAATTACCTATTTGTCTTCCGAACACCTATTGGTTATCGTTATCTGGAGAAAGGTACAATTTATGGAAATTCTACAAAACGTTTGGAACATGTTTACGGTATATAGTTATTTATTCTAAAAAAAAGAGTAATTTAAATAAATATGTGAAGCATAAAACATAGCTTAAATTTTCATCTGTGTAAGAGACCTTAGACAAGCTGCTGTTTTCTTATTCACGATTTATCAACCGTATTCACATATTTCATGTTTAGGTATTCACGGCCACGCCTGTAATAGGTAAGTCTGGTTATCTAACATTGTATAGACATGTGTACATATCAACGTCCATCAATGCCTACATCTTGTTCCTATTTACTCGTAACGTTACAATCTAAAGGCTTGTATCATCCTAGTTTGAAATCACGTATGGATCTATTATACCACGGACTTATATAGCAATCTAATTCCGTGACTTTACCAACTAAACCTTTATGACTTCAATTAAATGTTTTGATTTAGTTTTAGCCTCCAAACCTCAATAGAATGGTTTATACATTATCATTATATCAAATTGCACACATCCTTCCTAGAAAACTAATGGAATACGAGAGAACATTTCAAAAGTACTTCAATGGTCGATGATATCGTCTCCTTGGTTACTAGAGTAGACTATACATACATTATTTTATATACACTCAGCTTACAGTGGATGACGACGAGGACATATGCTAGTTACTTACCGCAGTCATAGGTGATTTTCCTCAACACCTTACATGTATATGGAGAGTTAGGTATCACTCACCTGAAACTGGACGAAATGGTGTGGCCTGTCATATTCCAGAAGGAAGTTGGACACCTTAAATTCTTGAGAACAACACTCTCGACATCCGCCCTCACCAGATTCGAGGTCGGCCATCTCTATTCAGCTACGGAATGTAAACAGCAATATATAGGGCGACTTTTCACCTGGTGGCGTCACGGTTCGTGGCGTCACGTTCTATCACGCAAGGTGGGTTTGTAGAAAATGATGGGGTCCATTGATGAACGTGTTGCCTCTGAACGGAGTTACCTGTCCACAGGTCGCTGGGCAGTCATCCTTGATTGGTCGGTTATGTTTTGGTGTAATCACCTACAACTGTATACGGATATACCGTATCGGACCACAGACTTAGATCCGTGATTGTACCAAGTCATGTTAGGGCGTATAGAACTTCAACATACATTCCATATTCAACCTTTGCCAGAAGGTACATTATAATTGAAATCAACCCATGCGTGACTTGATGACTATACCATATCATATAGGTAAGATCGATTGACTGAAGTATTTAATGTATGTTTTTACTCCTCAATAGCCTGAATACCGATCAGAACCATACTAACTCTTCGCTAACTCCATTACCTACAGTGTACAGTATGACAATACCGATCAGAACCATGGTGACTCTTCATCCCTACATTACCTACAGTGTACAGTATGACAATACCGATCAGAACC